AGTGCACAGTCAGGATGAAGCACTTAATGGGCTACAAACCAGAACATGATCTCCCTGTTATCTGAGACTGCAGTTTCCTTTATTTGAACTGATGGAGACAGCAGATGGATGACCTCGGGCTCTGCCACTGCGAACATTAAACTGCCTCGGAAACAGAGTCACCACCAGTCAGCAGGATGTTGATAGTATTGGGCTCTCCTACAGGCCCGTGCAGAGAGCCGCTCTCATCAACACCAGTATTAAATGCTGACATGGAAAGCTGAGCCACCCGGATCACTGTAAAGTGTCTTAAGGGAATGAGTGGTATGTGCTTTCACTGTTTTGTTATGGTCCATAGTCAATGATTGATGTTCAGGCATAAAGGGCGCGGCTATTTTGCACAATGTAGGAGGAGGGCTTTGGATCTCCAAACATTATATTATGAAAATGTTACCTTTAACCTGTTCAGGGAGCATTCAGCTTCTTCCCCAGTGACTATATCAATAATATCCAAGATGAAAATTTGTACATAAAAAGGCTTTAAGCAAATATCAAAATGCTAAAACATTTTTTTTCTTGTCGCCAAATCAATGAATGTATATATCCCATTTCTAAACAGTATTAACAAGGATAGCAACTGTGAATAATTACAGTAAAACAGCTAAAATATATGCTCTAGTGCAGACATTCACTGGAATCTACAATGGCTTGAAAAATAAAGTTGTTTTTCCCACATTTGATCATGTTTTACATTAGAATTGAATTTGTCTTGTTAGATTTGATTGTGTTTCAGCAAAACATCGAAGTCCAGAGGAAGGAGAGGGTTTTTTTTTTTCTATTTACAGACTAAGGACTAAGGACAGATTTATCATTTGCTGCAGTTACGGTTACGAGTCCTTTGGGGTATGTACTGTATCTACCAGCTTTGCATATCTAAAGACTGGCTTTTCAGCTTACAGTATCAATCTTTGAAGAATAGTTTTGGTTTACTCAGATTGGGGTGAAGTGCATATGTGAGCCACAATTTCTCAAGTCTCGTAGCAAATATTCTGTATTTGATTTATGTCTAGACCTTGACTGGATTATTCTAACTAATGGATATCCTTTGTTTTGAATATGTTTTTCAAAGCGTAACATTATATTTAGCAAAGTTATTGGTGTTATGTTTCTCCCCTTTTGGACTTTTATTTGAGTTTCTTTTTGGGGTTTCCGTTATCTATGTCGTTCTGTTTTGATCTTTGGTTTCTTTTCCATTTTGTCATATTTAAGCTGTGTCGCATTTTTTTTGTTACTCTCTGTTGCCACTTTGTGCCAGTCTCCTTTCCCCTGTGACAAAATGCTTCAGTTTATGTTTACCACTTGTCCCTTATTCTTTCTTCTGATTTGTAATGCTTCAATTTAAACATTAATTTGAAACTTTGCTTCACTTACTATCCCGGGTTTGTTTTTGTTAGCATTATGTTGCAGTTTCCATCTATTTATGTTTAGGTTAAAGCTTTTACTTCTGGATTATTGGATGAAATTGTTTATTTTGTTTCAAAGTAAATTCATGGTATTTGTTTTCCTCTTTACTCACCATTGTTTGTTTAAGTATTTCCTACTAAACTGACTAGATGATGTCATCCATTACCTTGTTGGGTTCTACCATTTAGGGTTTCCTTTGGAGTTATGCTTTGTTTGTTTTACTTTAAGGAAACTTTTTCAGTTATCTTGTATCACATTGTTTATTTTGCAGACTCTTTCTTTATGTAGATGAGTTTGTAAATTAGATTAATTTAGCGCAGGTGTGTTGCCAATTGGTTATATAAGCACTGAGCTCTTGGAAGCTCAGGAAGGTTTGTCTGAGTGAATGGGCTCTATGCACAGCTCCACTACTTCCTGAATTTAAGGCAGCTCCTTTGTTTCCTGTCTTTCATTACTGGACGAACTGATTAATCCAGGTGTGTCTGGCCAGTTACTTAGGTCATACACACTTGGATTAATCAGTGCATTCAATCATGAAAGACAGGAAACAAAGGAGCTGCATTAAATTCAGGAAGTAGTGGAGCTGTGCATAGAGCCTATTGCTGAATAAAAGACAACAGAGAAACTGGAACCGGTTGCTGAAGCTGTTTTTTTTGGTTCACCTTTTGATCCTCGACCAAACTACCTCACATCCCCTAGCTCTCTTAGAGTTACTTCTATCCACACCTGCTCCATATCAGCTGATTAGCCCATTCTTTGTGCTGTCCCCCATATATACACCTCCTCTGCAGTTCATCATTGCTGGTTGTTACTTGGCTTCTCATGTGTGCTCTCCCCCGATGTCTTTTGGTTTCCTGTATTTTGTTTTTGTTGCCTTTTCGATTTCATTAAACCTGTAAGAAATCATTTCTGCCTCCCTCATCTCTGCATTTGGGTTCTCAACCAACCTCCACCCCACTTTGACACGTCAAATACGAGTCTTACGTTTCTTGTTCGGAAGGCTCATAGAAACTTGGCACTGAAACTGATAATTCACTTTTATAGTTTTTTTACTGTTACAGTAAAACTTATTATTCACTTCCCTCAGCATAAACATATTTTTGTTGGTTTTCAGTTTTATAATTGGAGATGATGTAAAGCTTTATTAAGGTATACCTCAGAGGAATACTATTCATTATTCGAGGCATGGTGAAAAAGACAACGTTAATAAAAAAAAAGCATATCTCTTGGAAAATATTCTTTATTCAAAGCAGCTGCAAGCAAACACTACTTCCACCTTAAAAATGAGCAAGAAAAGCAAAAACCAAGACCAAACAGATTCACATATTTCATCATGACAGCATTTGACAGTTGTAGATTTAGCTTGCAATTCCAAGAAGTTAAGAAAAAAAAAGGATGTATACAACCACAAGGCTTGTGTTTGTACTGGTGAGTCACAATAAAAAGCAAATTATGCATTCAGGGACGCGGTCGTCCTTAAAAGTGCAAATGAGCAAACATTTCATTTCTACGATCAAAGGTAGCAATTTATTTTGCATGTCCACAACATAAACAGACACACTAATTACCCTCTCATAGAAGCGAATGCAAACACACAGAGTCAGTGCTCCGTTCTCATGAAACAAGGAAACAGATTTTCATAAAATAATAAGCAGGAAATAAAATGAACCCCAATATGATGTTTCTATGTCGAATACAAAGCGGGCAGCTGTAGAGCTGCATTCACAAGCTTAAATCTTTAATTTATGCCAAAATAGTCAAATTTATTGAAAAACTAGTTCACTTGTAGACATTCCTTCTGCCCCAAGCCAGACATATTACCTTGGAAACTATACAAAACATTAACATCTATTAAAAATATATAGCTGAAAGAGAAATGCTGTTTTCATGCAACAACATTTAGCTTTCTGAACACCCTAACAACACAGCAGAGAAAGAAAAAGCAGAGCTGTTTGTAACTCATTTATATATTGATTAAATTCTAAAATCTGGATCGGTCTTGTTCCTCAGTCAGATTCATAAATAGAGCTGTACAGAAACCATCTTTGGCCCAAATTATCTAGGGCTAGTCCTATTTTCTAAGAAAAAAAAAAGAAGCTCTGCACACCATCTGTGACAGAAGGGGGATAACGAGGCCTGATAGAGGCAGTAATCAGTTCATCAGCGGTTTGCACCCAAACACTCTCTGTGAGGTCTGAATGTGAGGATCAGACCAAGGCTTTTCTCTGCATCCTTTGTTTAGCAGCGATCAATGTATCTTTATAGAAATCTAAAATTATATGGATGTTATCTGGTTTATTGGCTTGCATACAAGTAAATATCTACTGAATAATGGAAACAAATATTTTTTCACATGAAATGAGTCATGGTGAAAAACAAATTCCAAGAGCAAAAAAATGTGTTGTAAAAAACAAATACAAAAATCTGACCAATTAACTCACAAGTTGGACAAGTATGTCGAAAAAGCCAGACTGAGGAAAAATTGTCTTTAACACAACAAGAACATTTTGAAATGTCAATTTTTTTGATATAGCCTTAAAATTCTAAGTTATCTGAAAAATGAAATACACACAAAAAACAATACATTTTATCTTTTTATATTTACCAAAAAGCTAAAGGTGACAGATAATACTTTGCATCTTTAAAAAAAAAATTGACCCATTCCACAATCTTCACTTTTGACCAAGTAGAAATAGATATCTACAGAAATTATTTATATTTTCATCAATGTGACTTTAGGATATTCACTTTTTTTTCTCTGATATCTGAATTTTCTTTTCAGATCAGCATCAATTGTTATTCAGACCAATCCACTATCCTCTGGCAGGGAAATACTCATGTTTAACATTCAGTGTCATACTAATGAGGGGACTCTCGGTCTGCCTATTGTGCCACAGACATTTTAGTAATCATGGCCATTCAATTTGTAGAAGGTTGGCCCCGGTAGCAATAAAAATGCAATTGATCACAGTTGTAATGTGGAGATCAATCAAGGGCAAAGAAAAAACACTGAAAGCTCACAGACAGGAGCTTTTGATGTTCTGACAGGGACTTGAAGGCTGGAGAGCACTTAAACGGAGCAGATCACAGGTGAGGGAAATTGTGCTGACTGCAGCAGAGGAGGTGGGCTTGGCAGAGAGAAGAACAGATGGACATCAAGCTATAACAAATACAAAAATATTCTGCTACCCTTCCTTAGATCTGCGCTGTGAAAGATGCCTCTGATACAGGCTTACAGCTAACTCTCTTTAATAGCAAATATCCTCGGTCAAAGCATCATCTGTGGGATCTAGTCTCAGAAGGTTTGCTTCATTGCTACTCTCTGCAATAAAGTCAAGTTAAAAGAAAACATTGGAGGGATCATTAATCTGCTGAAGCGTCTCCTGGATGCTCCAGAGCTCAGCTGCAGGTTTCATGACATAACTCAGCTACATTTTTATTTTGCTTTTAAAACAACTAGTTATGTAAACATTTAAACATCAAATCATGTAAATAAAGTTTCAAATATCATCCAACAACTTTAGAGGATCATAGTTTTTTTTACATTTGCTTTTTATTCTAAGATAAGTAATATTTTGTTATACAATGATCCAATTATTTATTTGTACTATGAGTGTTTATTTTGTATCTAAAGGGTTTTTTTTCTTTAGTATACATATCTAATAATTTTGCAATAAAATGAACCAAGATTCTATTCTATTCTATTCGTTTCTGTTCTATTCTAACCAAACAAGCTATCTCTAGATGAAAAGGCAATGTCTTGAGGTATGTTAATTGCTTTATGTTTCCAAGCAACCATACATGTACCACCTCTCAGCTTTTGTAATAATTAAGAATAAGTAATTAATAATTAATCTGAAAGTTACTGTAAATAATACATTTACAGTCCTTTTTGTTCAGGTGTATATCCTTGATTTCAACAGATTCTGCCCTACATAATAAAGTAAGCCAATGCTCCTATCAGCTGCTTCAAATGTGCCCATGTTTAAGGCACTTAATTCCCATAGTGCTCCAGAAGACAGTTTTGGAGAACTTAAAGGATCTTTGTTGGCAACCTCCCAATTTAACAAACATGCTGTACTGGAAAAACAATAAACCTGTTCAGTTAAATTTCCCTGGACAAATAAAGATTAAATCAGTCTACAAATGTATTCTTACTGCCTGTGGAAGCACAGGGCCGTCTGCAGTATCCAGAGCATCCACAGGGACACACAACATGGTTACTCATTTTAAAGTTATTTTCAGAAATGTGTGGGTCAACGTCAGCATCTCCTGCCACTCTGACAGAAAAGGCTAGACTTGAGGATACAAGAAGCTGCCAGTCTAAAAGAAAGCCGCCCTGGGCGATCACCTCCCACAGAAGTGGAGCGGCACATTCTTTGACATGTTTTCTTCTTTGAAGCCCCAGGCTTGAAGCTCCAGTCTGTCCTCCTCCTCTTCCTCCTCCACTCTATCGTCTTCCTCAACATCACCCTCCTCATACAAACTGGGCTCCTCCACAGAAGTCTCCATGTTTGGATTGTAACTACCAAACACCTGTGCCTCGCTGTACTCGTAGATGGTGGGAAGGCTGCTGCGTAAACCAAAGCGACGTCGCAGGGCTACAAGCAACGGCTGTGGGACAGTGAAGATGTCCAAGTTGTTACCCATGTCTATCCAGGCCAGACAGGGAAACTTTTTGGGGTCCTTGACCATCTCTGTCAGGTCTTTAACTATGGCGGCTGTCAGGCGGTTGCCGTTGACAGCTAGTGTGGTCAGTTTGGGCATGCAGCTCAAGAAGGGCAGCAGCAGCCGTAAGCTGTCGTCCTGCAGCTCGGTGAAGCTCAGGTCCACAGCAGACACTGCCTCATTACAGGTCTGAAGGTAGAAAGCCACTCGGTGGACGTCCCGTCCAGACAGTGGGATTCCTGACAAGTTCACCACATCACCGGACAGACGCTTCTTCAAAGTGCTCTTCAAACTAAAGAAAAAAAGGAAAAGAAAAAAACACAAAAAAGTAAAGCTTAGATCTTTGATGCACAAGAGTATTAAAGGTACTTCATTTCTTCAGTACTGGCAGTGAGTTATCCAAAGACAAGCAATCTTCACTTAATGATAGTGAGATTATTGATTTCAAAGGGTCTGTGATAGAGTGCTGCACAATCCACAAGTACACGACATCTGCAAAATGTGCAAAAAATAACAGCAAACAGAAGCGAGGGGAGTTAAACAATCAATAATCTGCAGAAGAGAATTTGCATTTAAATGTGTGACTCAGAGCCACTCGCATAACAAATTCTGTCTCCTGCACTGAAAGTCATCTGTAGAGAAGCAGCAGCTGTTTTCTGGCTTGAGCGGCTCTAAGCCAGCTGCAAGATTCAGAAAATGAAGAAAAAAAACATATTGCAGAATAAGAAATTTAGGCTGAGATGATTTTATTATTAACACACACACAAAAATGTCCACTTTGAAATGGAGTTAAAAACACACATGACTATCATGACACCTTACATAAAAACTTTGATTCTTTACAGTAGAACATCTTTTTGTGATCCAAGAAATCAGTCTGATAAGAGGGAAAAAGTATTAGGAAAAAAGTAATGAGTAACTAATCATAAAATCTGATTTACTCTTCAGCATTCTGTAATACGATGGGCCAAAATGTAAAGTTCTGATATTATAAAGAATATAATAAAATAACAAATTAGGACGAACACATATTGCAATTCGAAGATATGAAACTTAAGAAGACGAAGCATTTTTCCAAACCAATTTTCTGACCACGGTGTCGGTTACCTTTATAATCAAACTGCCATTGACACTAAATGATGACTGGCCTGGCTAAGCTTCAGTCCCGTTTGCAGAAACAAGGTCTAAAGAACAGATAGTCATGTGGATTCACCCTCTTTCTGGGAGTTCTAGGACAAGAGTTGTCATCTGTGCACATAAATACCCCCTTTTCATCCTGTTACTTCATGTTTTTGTTTGACCATTTTGTTAACTCTAGCCAAATTAGCATAAATTAGGTTAATCTTATTCTAAATTTCACTGGATCGCTTTTCTGACAATTGCTTGACTTTTCCTGTTAGGCTATTGAAATGCAGGACCTCCATCGAGGGGCCTCTGTGGCCTCTGGCCAAACTTCCTTCTAGCTGAATTATTAGGTTGATTCTCGGAAACTAAATCCACAAGTGGCTGATTTGAGTATACACACTGATTTAAATACTATGGGTTTCTTGCGGCGCCTGAACTGCAGTCAGAGTGAGCCCAATGTTTCTAATAGATTTTGTACCACACAGCCATGAGATAAGAGTTTATGAATGAAGCATTGATAATAAGTTTGACAAGAACTCCTGACTTGTAAAGCCTGTTTTTACAGACTGCAAGCTGATTTCCTTTCAGGTCCCAGCCAAAAGGAGGAACTCCTATGACACCTGAGACACCCTGGAGGTCCTCTATATAAAAACCCTAATCCCCAAAATAAATGCTTACAAGTGCACAACATAGAGCCGTACCTGCTCTTTTGTGTCAGTGGCTGGACTCTCATTTTTACTCTGTTTGTAAAGAAAGTTTATTTGTGATTAGTTTGATGCTGTAAGCTTGTTAAGGGCAGTCTTTCACATCAAAAATAAAGTTTCCTTTTCTGTTGATCTTTTATTTTTTTATGTCCCCATATTTCTTTCGGGTTTGTAAAAGGCTTACTTATAAAGCGCCTTAGTCATTTCATGAAACTCCAAAGAGTTCAGGCACCATTCAGGCACAAACTCTTACACTGATGGGGGCCAGCTACATTTTAGCCACAGCTGCCCTGGGGATCACTGACAAAATTAAGGCTGCCATGCACAGACTCCACTCTAACAGTGAAGCTGAGCTTGGTCACCCTTAAAGGGGAACGCCAATTTTATTTTATTTTTTTTAATTGGGCCCTTGATTTTACATTATTACATCATGTTCTACTCAGCCATAAAAACAAAGCAGAGTGTGTATAACATCACCCCATGAATGCTGGCATACCATAAAGAATACAATACTAAACAACAGTTTAGTTCGTGCCTTCAAGTCGTTGCCCACAGGAAGACGTTACTTGGATACAACCTAACAGAATATCTTCAGAACGGCTCCAAATGACACAAAACTCATATGGGTGAGTAGAGCATGATTTAATATTGTAAAATCAAGGGCCCAATGTAAAAGAAAAAAAAAAAAACGGCGTTCCCTTTAAAGTTACCTAGATTTTTGTAAAAAATTAAATGTAGTCAGTTTACTCAACTTGAAATAACTGAATATTTTAAAATAACTATGATCTAAAATGCTTTTCTAACAGGAAACACACATATTTCCTCCAAAATGAGGATTAAACGTTGTTGTTTTTTAAGCAACAGATGTTCAATAAATCTTTCTCCTAGAGGAAATATTTTAAAAGCCTCTCACGCTGGATCATACTGTATCTAGCTGCTTCTGCCCACACTGAACTGTCTCTAACAACATGGTCTGCCTAACAGTGGGTGAAATATGTATAGCATAGCTACAGTATAGGGCTGCAGAAACCTTATTGTCAGCAATGGCAGCACCATATAAGACTTCTTTTTTTGGACTTGAGACATCTCAAAGGAAACACATCCGTCAAACAAAAGAAGAAATGTTAGATAGTATCTTTTTAATGGGAGGAAAGTTTTTTATTTTGTGTTTCCTCTCTGACCTATATGCATTTTCTCGTCCCTCTGCCTCCTCGGCCACAGAAAGGATTATCTCTATCTATTGCTGCTTCCTGCTCTGTCAGGGAGCCTCATAAATTGGGAGGCTTTGCTCTTTGCATCTGTCATTCCTTCTGCTTGGTTAAGAAAAAGGAAAAAAAAAATCTCTGGTGCAGCGTGTTGGTGATTTGTGCGATTATTGATTCCATGAGCAGGTTATAATTCAACCATCCCTGCCCGATATTCTATGCGTAACTAAATGCAAGTCCCTTTACTGCTTTGAATTTTTATTAAGCCTTTTTTCTTCTTTTTGTCTTGTGTGGTCTGATTGTCTTACAGGGTCTGGACTTAATTTCTGTCAGACAAAAACATACTCTCTCTTATTGTGCAGTTTTAAAGACCACAGGGTGTGTGAAGAGAATTCAGATATACAATGCAAGCAGTTTATTTATGTTAAAGGTCCTAAAAAACCTGCCTTCTCCACTTAAAAAAAATAATGCACATGCGTGCGAGAGCGTGCACGAGCCCATTTCTCCTCATGTACGCTCTGTTTACAAGTTGCTGTTTGCAACACTCATACAAGCTTATTTTTTAAAAGCTTACGTAAACATAACACCAGAATGATTGACAATTAGGAGGACCACTTATTTTGATGATCCACCCGAAAAAAGAACATCCTCCGCTATACCTTTAAAACAAACTTAACTTTTAACTCAGATTACTTTTCACAGAACTACATTTCTTTTATATGGCATTAACACCGGAGTGGAAATATGTTCTTATAAAGTTATTTTAGATCATTTTGACACCTGTACATGTAACTCTAAAACACAATGCTGTCTCTTTAATGTTGAAATACTGGGTCTCAAAGATAATTTTAGCCTTTCTGTGGAAACATTAAGGCAGACAAATATTTTCTTATTATCTAATTGCCTGCCATTGCAATATTTTCAAATGGTTATTCATTTGTACCTCATTGGGTCACAGTACGGTTCTTATGTTTTCACAACATTTAAATTCTCATTGGAAATTAGTTATTTACAAATCTATATCATCAATAAGATTTCAAACTGGATTTTTCTTACTGATGTCTGATTCAATCCCATTAAAACAACCAACTCTTATGTAATCAAATGTGTAAAAAAAGCTTAAATAATCTACTGGAACACATTAACACTTGTTTGACACAATTACAAACTGGATCCTGGGCAGCATTACGTAACTCCTGATGTGTCCAACTGTAAAGATCAATTTGCCATGCTGACTACACTCTGATGATTTGCACTCAACACTGTCTGCACTTAATTTAATTAGAAAAGGATTAATCATTTAATTAAATTAGTTCTGGCCTGCCCTAAGAGAAACACAGTAAAAGATGCATGAAAATACTACTTGATGGATCATGGTCCACCATGTGTTAGAATAGTTGTTGCTTTGCTTACATTTTGTTTCTGAATTTTCTAGATCCTAAAGAACATTAATGATGCACCATTTAGCAAGGGATCAGGACAGAACTACTTCCTCTTGTTTTGAAAGGCAAAAATAAAAAACAAAATAATTAAATTAAAACCTGAAAGCTTCCATTCTTAAAGTACCTACTCATAAACAATACTTAAGTACAAGTTCACAAACAAACAAATAAATACTCTAGTAAAAGTATCACACTAACATTAATTATCAGAGATGGCAAAAGTACTCACTTTCCGTACTTGAGTAAAAGTACAGATACTTGTGTTAAAAAATACTCTGGTAAAAGTGGAAGTACTGATTAAACTTCTTTACTCAAGTAAAAGTAACAAAGTACAGGCTTGTAAATTTAATTAAAGTATAAAAGTAAAAGTAGAAACCACTTTTTTCATGCCGTTGCCTACATTTTAAATGGATGTCTGCCAATAGGACTAGATCTCCGTTGTGTTCATTTTCAATCATCTCGTCGTCCATGCTACTATGCTAACGCCACCGCCACCAAGCTGCAATGATTTGCCGCGAATGAATACCGCCGAATCTGTCGATTCATCTTGTAGTGGTGCGTCAAATGCAACGTAGATTCCCATCCAATTAGATTGAATTTGGTATTGATGACGTGAAAAATAATAACGGTAACTCCATTGAAATGATTCAAAACTAAAGTAACGAGCCAATTTTTTAAAATATAAGGAGTAGAAAGTACAGATATTTGTGTAAAAATGTAAGGAGTAGAAGTAAAAAGTCGCCATAAAAATAAGTAGTAAAGTAAAGTAAAAATATCAGAAAAATCTACTTGAGTACAGTAACGAAGTATTTGTAC